CACCGAGCCGATCGTCCCTCGAATTTTCTTGTTCTTTGCTATTGCACTAGATGTTCACTTGTTTGCAAGGTAATTGAGACGTCCGAGAAGTCGGAATGCTCGAGTAGTGGCGCCGTTGTTTTTTTGTTTTGTTCTTTCCGCGGCCGCAGTGGGATTACCCCGTGAACGGCGGTGGGCTTACGCGTTCACAAATACCAAGAAGCAGACGACGACGAAGCAGACGACAAAGCGATTATAAAGCGATAAGACGACTGAAACTGCTTTTCTGCATTTGCTGAGGAAAGTAAGGCATCACAAACAACACAATCTTATGAAGTAAAAACCTGCAAGAGAATCAAGGTAATACCGGCGCGTGCCAAATGATAATCTATGATGATGTACGTACGCGCAGCCGTATGTAGCCGGGAAGCCGGGAAGGGCTGACTACAAGTAGCATGGCGGCGGCACCACTTCCGGAATGCGCGCGCCTGCGCAGTTCGCTTGGTGACATCGGTCTATTCCCCCGCTATGCATCTGCGGACGATTCGGTTACGTGTTTTGCGGTGCACGGTTCAGTATTCTTTTTCAGTGCAATACACGTCGGCGCACAGTATTTTCGGCGCACAGAATATTCGATGCGTGGTCATATAAACTTGTAAATATTCATCGGTTATCACTGAAATTAAGAGTTAATTTATAACCTTCATTTTCATCTTTTGCACATTACTTTTTTTGCAATTTGTTAATGCTCTAGTGCTTAATGTCAATTTTCCCGCTAAATCTAGTGGAGAAACTAAATTTCTCTGCTAAATTAAACGTGGAATCGAATTGATATTGAGGTCGCGTGACGTCAATTTTCCCGCTAAATTTAGCGCGGTTACGCCGACGCCGACGCCGAAAAACACAAAACGATCACTTAAGAGCTGCGCTCTAAAAAATTACAGAAGGACACATAAGACTGCTTACTTGTTGAAAAAATGTATACACGCAGTGCATTCCTACACTCAGTGCGCCCCGCTCCTCCCCGGCGCGACATGGCTCAAAACAGAGCGTAGGGCCAGACTTGTACACGTTACTGAAAAATAGTAAGGAATTACATTTACAATTACGCGAGGCTAAATTGTAATTTATTACAATTACAATTACCCTCCCATAAAGTTAACTGACCGTTACCCCCAAAAAGTAACCCGTTACTTTCGTGGCGTTACTTTCAACAATATTGACTTCAGCTAAGAAACAAAGGGGAGCCGGTTATTCAAGTCCTTATTGTTGCAACCTGTTCCATTTATTGACCCTGAGTATTTTGAGCGACAGCTGACTCACGAAAGTCTCGTCAGACATTTTGCGTTATTCCTTACTCAGTATGTAAACTGCCACGCTGAACACCCTTTGAACTGAGGCACTGGATGGGAGTACCCTATTGTTTTATGCTCTGCATTGGGCTTCTGCAGCGAAGCAATGGAAGTACTATTTACCTCGAAGATAGAGCAAAGCTTATCTTCGAAGTAACGGATTACAAGGAATCCTTTACGTTAAAAATGTAAGGGAATTACATTAAAATTACTCCAGAAAAGATATAATTATTCCGCTACTAAATTACCGATCAATGTAAGGGATTACGAGTAATTTCGTTACTTTTAACGGATTACGTACAAGTCTGGTTAGGGCACGTGCTCCCCTCCCCACCCCCCCCCCCCCCCCCCCCCCCCTCCGCCCCGGGCCTGCGGCACGCCTGGCCCGTGACGCGAGAGAGGGCAAAGAAAGGTGGCCCTGAGCGCGCCACCGCCCGCGGGCTGCAGCGCCATGAGTGGGCTTCTTTGTGGGGTGGCGTTCCTTGGAACTATGACGCGTCGCAGCCAATGTGAATTTAGGTGCCATTCCGCTCAGCTAACGGGAATATGGGAATTTCTTCCGCCTTTTTTTGCGGTTACAAACGCCGCAGGCTGCGCTCCATGGGACAGTTAATACTTTGGCATTAAAAGAAGCGGATGGTTGAGGTCACGTCAACGCCGAGATAAGGCGATGTGAAGGGAGAGCAGCCGGGAGGCAGCACGTCGGACCAACAATTTCTCGGGCGCGCGCTGGCACTTGGGGGAAACTGCAATATGTATAGAGGCAGCTAAGGACGCTCTTGTGACCACGGGTCGTATGTCCAGAGCTTTAACACACACAGGAGGAACTCGAACAGTTAGACCTCTCGCGGTACGCTTCAATTGTGGGGCAACAAACCGTATTTTCTTGTTTATTTTAGAGCGCAGCTCTTAAACACCCGTTTCCGGGTTGAGCAGCGTCACCGTCACCATCACCGCAACCGCGCGGTATATTATGAGACGTTTCTCATGATGACGTCACACGTCACAAGGGACTTCACGAGCGTAAAAGTTTCTCGCTAAATTTGGCGGGAAACTTTCCCGCTAAATTTAGCGGGAAAATTTTTCGCTAAAATGAGCGGAAAGATTTCATGTCTAAATTGAGAGGGAAAATTTCCCCTAAAATTTAACGGAAAATTTAGCGGGGATTATTTACCCTCGTGACGTCACACGTGACGTCACGTGTGACGTCACGTGAAATTTAGCGGAATAATTTTTCCGCTAAAATTAGGGGTAAAAATGTTTGCTTACTTTTGCGGGGAAATTAACGTCACGTGACCTCAATAGCAATTCAGTTTCCCCGTTTAATTCAGCGGTAAAATTTTCGCTATATTTCACTGAAAATTTAGCTAGAAAGTAGGGAGTTTTCGTAGATCGTTTTGGCCGTCCCGCAACGCCCTCTGCAACCCGCTACGATACCCGGAACTCTACAGTCAAGGCTATCGGTGCGCAGGTGCAGTAGCAACTTCTTCGTTGCGGAGGGCTTAGCGGAGGGGGAAAAGTGGTCTACGAAAACTCCCTAGTGTTGGTAAATCTCCCGCTAAAATTAACCGGAATATTTTTCTGCTAAATGTTGCGGGGAAGTTTTCGCTATATTCAGCGGGATATTGAGGGAAAATTTCCGGCTAAATGGGAGGGGAGCAGGCGAGGAGGAGGAGAGGGTATGGAGGGGGAGGAGGGGCATACCCTCCCCTCCTCCTCGTCAAGACCTGCGCTCTACTTCGGCATTACAGAGGATTGTAAATTCTCACTTTGTTTTTATTGGAGAAATCGAAGAGGACGATTCGAAGGCCACTCCTCATGCGTCTAAAACAATGGTCAGAGCGAAGCGCTGCTGCCCAGACAGTGCTAGGCGAGGTTCAATTTCTTTGTAATGCTCTGCTGGTAGACACCAGTCTGTGGGACAACCAGCTCGATAAAGCGCCCCCTATAGCGCCCAATAGCCGATGAAACCGAAATGAACGGGGTGCGCTCGCTCGCGCCGAGCGAGCGCGTGAATGACTGTCTTCCACTTTCCTGCCTCTGCATTGCTAAGAAGGTCGCGGGCCTATAACCTAAAAGGCAAAAAAAAAAAAAAAGAAAAAAAAAGAAAAGAAAACACAATAAAACAGAGGAAGCCAAGGAAAATCGCGAGTCTAAACCTTTGGAGACATATATCCCTGTATAGGCGGGTAAAGCACAATGATACGTTGGAGGCCTATGGCCTTCGCAACATAAAACACCATTGAGTCGGCTAAAAAAATTAAAAGGTCGTTAGTCTATATAGATTTAGGGTCATGCGCCAACCTATAGCTGTTTAAAACATATTGAATAATCGCGAGTCTATACGTCTAGGGACCTGCAACCCTCTACAGCCGGCAAAAGCATATTGAGTAGTCGCCGATCCATAGGAATAGGGACATACATTTTTCTGTAGCTCGATAAAGGAAGAAAATAGTCGCGATTTTATAGCTTTCTAGACACATATATTTATACAGCCGGCTATAGAAATTTGAAAGGTCGAGATTCTATAGCTTTGAAGACAGATTATCATGTGGGTGGCTAAGGGCGGATTTCATGGTTTCTTTTGAATGACCATAGAGGACCATAGACGGTTACAGCTCACCGTAGGATTTTTCATAAGCATTCATAGGCCATTTTTGTATGGGTTCCCTACTCTAGTGTGATTAAAGGGGTTATGACACAAACATTTAACGGATAGATTATTCTGGAAAGGAATTACTCATAGGCTACTTAATATATACACCGAGTTACGCGATTTTAGTGTGCTGGTAGTTACAATATTCAATTTACAAAATTTTATCATTTTCATCTGGCGACCAGGCAACACTGCCTCGAGTTAGTCACACCATGGTGTCCATAAACCACGTGATCATGAACGCTCTCTCACTCTAGGCGTCCCCATGATCGCCCAAGCTCTCCTCGCCGCGGTACGATCAAAACCGCTCATGCAACTTGGCAACCCGAACGCTATTCTGACTCTCGCCCCCGGCCCGCTGACCTTCCACCCTGCATGCGCATGCAAGATATTCTCGGTCGACGGTGACCACGGCGAGTTCTTTCGTAACTCGCCGTCACTAGAGCTGGTCGCCAGCGGATCGCAGTCGAAATGAACAGCTTCCAGCGTCTCTTGATAGCAATCACTGTCATCGCTGATGCGATCAGGTCGAACATTTTGAGAAGGCGAGCGATGCCCTTGACGTAATTGTCGCGGGCCGCATGCTCGAAACGCGCAAGGTAAGCGAGGAAGCTGAAGCTCGAGACGCCAAGAAAGTCAAGTTTGTGAGTACGTGCAAGGGGACGCCGCGCGGGAGGCTGGCTACGTAGCCAGCATCCCGCTCCGCACGGATCCGCCCCTCCGAGGGACCCGCCTATAAATCGATTTATCCACGAAACTATCGCGCCATTTTCAAAATAAATTTAGGAGGATTATAGGAACGTTTAATGGGTTCTAGCAGTATTGTTATCTCACATAATATTTTTTTCCGTGTCATAACCCCTTTCGTTAACTTCTCCCGGTATTAAAATAAACTGATCCCTCGAATCCTTCAATGATTGAGCATGGCTTAAAATTGCAACTTATCACGTGTTCTTTCTCCGTGTGTCCTCCCCGTGAACCAGCGCGCGGCTGCAGGGAACCGAAGCGAGCTAATGTCCTCCCGCGCTCTGGAGCCGCACGACGCCCTTGATCTGGATCCAAGCATCAAGCGGCAGATCTTCTCCGAGATCACCTACGAAAACCTGGACACGAACGCTTCGGAGGCCTCACTGAGGGGACGGCACCGCCATACTCGCAGCCCGGACTCCTCCCTCTCGTCGTCCACCAGGTCGGCCTACGGAGGATGGTCCCGTTTCTCCGTGGCGCATGGCGACGCCGACGCCACGATCCGCTCGGCCGCCGGCAACAGCATCTTCACCGGCCGCCTCTCATTCAAGCGCAGCCTCCAGTGGAAAGCGACAGCTTCTATCGACAGGAAGCTCCGGGACCGTAGGCTCTCCTTGTGGCAGTACGGGTCACTAGAAGCAGACGCCGAAGACATGACCGTCTTCCGGTCGCCCAAATCCCGTGTCCGCCAGCTCGTCTGCTTCGCCATGGCCATCCTATCCGCCGTTCTGGCCCTGATCGTGCTCGTGGTCTGTCTGCGGGTACGGTACAGAAACGCAGATCCTCTGGACGCCACAGTGAAGGTTCCGGCGCTGATGTGTGACGACTACGAGTTCTGCAGAGACGAGTCTGGAGCTGCGCTGAGACTCCTCAACAAGTCGGTCAACCCCTGCAGCGACTTCCACGAGTTCGTGTGTAGCAGATGGTCGCGGTCACACGGGGACTACAGAGCGCAGGACGAAGAGAAAACTGGCACGGTCATGAAGACTCTGCTGAGCCGGGCACTCTCCGAGATGGCTGAGAAGACGCCGTCAGTGAACGGATCCTTGTACGAGTTTGATCTGGCCAACGACGTCTTCTTTGAAGAATGCATGAAGACTGACTCTCGGGAACGGAGAAGCCTGGGTGTGGCCCGAAAGCTACTTGCAGAGTACGGGCTGGGCGGTTGGCCATACACATCTTCGCACTCGCACCACGCAGATCTGACCTTTAGCAATGTGCTGCAGACTGCGAGCCGACTCGCTCTTAACCTGGGCTTGGCGGCATTTGCAAGAGTCTGGGTGTTTGGGACGCAAAAGGACAGTACACTAGAAATTGATGACCCCATACTGCTTCTGCAAAAGGATGACCTCTCAGGCACCGACACAAAGGCAAGATCGTTAATGGTGCACCGCCAACTTATAGCAGAATCGTTCTTTTACTTCGCGCACACGTCCAAAGACATCTATAAAGTGCAAGAGCAGATCCAACTTGTTTCTTTGATACTTGCTCAAGCCTCCAGACGATCTTCGGAGCGGAGTTTCTGCACCTTTGCTTACGAAACGACAACCTTGGGGGAACTTAGCGTTCTTGAACTGTACATTAGAAGGCTGCTTCCCAACAAATCTAACGTCTCCGACAACGCGACCGTTGTTATGAGGAATCCACTTGTAGCCCGAACCCTGGATTTCGTCTTCCGCTATCTTCGACCGGAACACCTTCTCAACTATCTGGGCTTTCGTCTGCTAGTGCACTTGTCGCCCTTCATCTTCGAGGTGCCAAACAACATTGTGAAGGCACGAATGAGTCAGCTGACTGGGGTGGACAAGTTGATCTGGCTCAAGGCCGAGGTATGTCTCAGGTTGTCCGAGGAGGCCCTGCCTGCATTCTTTCTCTACGATTTTTACGCGACAAGACCGGCGAGCTACTGGCACCAGCTCGACAACATGCTGACCGTGATCAAGAGGGCCGTCCTTACGCGAGCCGTGGTCCCTTGGAAGTTCTCCAACGAAGATAAGAAGAGGCTTCTTCGCATCCTGATGTACATGGACTTCAAGACATTCCTTCCACGGTGGCTTCTTAACGACACGCTTTTACAAACCTACAACCGGAGACTGCTTCCGAATCGCAAGGCCGACGTCTTCCAGATGTACGGCCACATATGGCGCCGAAGAACTCACGCCATCTTGTCTCCCAGACATGTGGACAGGCTGCTTGCAGATCCAAAGTGGCGCGGTTCGGTTTTCGACGCGATGCCCGTCTACTCTTTTCCGGAAAACACTCTGTACGTTCCCATGGCGATCTTCAACACATCGTTACCGGCGACGCAGGACGCCTTCTATCTTCACGCGGTGGAAGCAACCTGGAAGCTGGCATACGCCCTCGCCCCCATTTTTGAGCTGAGCAACTACTGGGACAACACGACGCTGCACAGCTACCGTAACTACGAGGTGTGTGCGCGTACCCGGTACGAGCCCTACTTGACACCTGGCATCGAGGACAGTGCGCTGCACCTTGCCTACGCTGATGAGATCTCGGTGTTCTGGGCCGAGCGGCTCGTGAATGTGCTTAGGAGTGTTGCCGCTGCAAGTCCTTTGGCCGACTTCGACAGGGAACAGTTCTTTTATATCTACACTGCCCTGAGCAAGTGCCGCAGTCACGGCGTTTTGCTGCAACCTCAATCGACGGTGACGAGCAAGCATCGGGTTAATATACCGTACATGTATTCTGCCAAATTTAGAAAAGCCTGGTCGTGCAGGGCACACTTTCGTTGTAAGTAATGTTTTGCTTCTACGTGATAAGCTGTGTAGAGCAGAGGACCGAAAGAAACCGAAGAACTAAAAGTTTTTTGCGCATATTTTTTTCTTAAAGTTCGACAGCATGGCACCTGCTGCTTCGTCGTTTATGAGGAAACCGTGGAGTAAAAACAACGCGAAGGCAATGTTGTCCATGGTGAAATCGCATGCTGGTTACACGAGTGAACGAGTGCATGTGTCATTTTTTTAGGTTGTGGTGTTTTTAAAATTGTTTTATTTGAAGTAGGATCACCTAAATGTGTACTTGTCCCTCTTAGATGGGCGATATCAGGTAAGTTTGTCGCGCAACGCTTTTACGTTGTTTTTTTTTGTACAAGTGAAAATTCGTTCTCTGTAGTCTGTTTCACTTTTAAGTGCGAGCGTAGCTGATGAGCAGAAGATTCAAAGGCGAAGTCCGAGCTCGAAACGTCCCTGTCAAGCCTGTGCGCTTGTACAGTGCAAGAGTAGTTCAGGACAGCAGGATTGTGAGCTTCGGCTTCGCTCGCCCTGGGAACAAATTCCACCTGTTTCTTCTGCATATTTGCGAAGTGCTCCGAAACACGAAGTACCCCGCTCGGGGTTCTTAAAAAACAAGGCGGCAAGCTTGGTTGTAAGGCCCCTGGGCGGAATCTGTTAGGTTCCAGCGCTGGTCAAGACTATGACGCCTTGATAGTTTAGTTGAGTATAGACCGATGTTTCAGTATAGACGCTTTGCAGCAGCTGTGCATGGGCGCCGCCATAACTGACCTTCAGTTTTTGTTTCGTCTTATTGAATTTTATTCACCTCATCATTACCATAGCAGGCCAGGTTATTGCCATGTTAAATTCTATTGCATCCTTCTACCCAGCATTGGCCTTTCTGGAGGCTCGTCAACATCCGTTTCAGAGGCTCGGTATATCCATAGGACAAATGAAGGTCAGCAATGGCGGCTGTAATCTAGCGCGCGTGTAAAGCGTCTATAATCAAGGCAGTGCATTATGGTTCTAACTACTCGAGTATTGAAATTAAATATAATTAATTAACAGGCGAGGCATCGTATTAACTTAAAAGCGACGTAAAATTAAAAAAGTTTTCATTGGTTGATTTAGTTTATTGCTATTATTGCAGGGCGCTAAAACGAAATTGTAAGGGTGATTTCGGCCACTTGCTGTTGATTTTGTAATGCTTAAGGTCTGTTCACACGATGCATCTAGTGCCACTAAATAAGCTACGCTTCAGAGTAACGACACTTGGCCATATTGTGGCTTAAAATCATGGTTGCCAGTTATCTGAAGCTTTATCTGAAATCACAGGAAATGCTTTTCCGCCCTCCACAAATGTTTAAACCGTTTGCGACAGAGCAAAGCAATATTACATTACCTTCCTAACACCGAATCTAATGCTGAGGAAGTCGCACTCTTGAATCATGACGATCGGCTGTTGCGTCTGTTCTGCATACGAGCCAAAATGGCGGCGCCCACAACAATGTCGGGGAACGGAGTGCCGATACTCTAAGCGCAGCTTATTCAGTGGCTCTAGATGCATCCTTTAGGCGCTCAACAGTTTCGCGACACTCATGTTTCGCGAAATGGGCTCGTTCACACGTGCCGCTTCACGTGCAACAACAACACACACCGATGCACCGTTTTGAGTGAGCTCCGAATCAGATCGCTATTTATCTGGGGGCCTGCTTTGCGCATTTTATGCAGTCAATTCACCTTAATTTTTTTTTTCTCACATACTGCAGTACTTGGAGCGATCTCGCGTCTGCGCAAAGCCGATTGAGGCGGCAACACGTACGTGCAGGACATGTGCCGGCGCCGAGCCCGTACGCATCCAATTCATTGCCAAAGCTCCTATCGATGCACATGGTACACTCTTATCTACGTCCTGGATAGTGGCCTCGGTACAAGCGGTACTCCTCAATATTCCGCCTAAGACACGGGATATAAGCAGCCCTGTGAAGAAAACTATCCGTGAAGCCTCTGGAAGCGGCCTAAAAAGATCGAAGTACCACCTGTAAACGGCCCTAACCCGCCCGAACGTCTTTATGTGGCTCACTTGACAGCCGCCGAAGCGCACCGTCACGCTTAAAAGAAAAGAAAGCGCGAATGAAGCACAAAAGCCCGTAAAAGCCGCGTGTCTCCGCGTCTCCCCCTCACCGCTGTCGGCGGCGGGGCGCACGGCGCACACTTGAGAAAGAGCAAGGGTTCGAGCCCCATTCCCTCTCTCAAGTCCCTTTCTCTCTCTCTCTGAAAAGTTGAAAACAAAAACAAGAAATTTTTTGCGAGTCCTACCGCGCATGCTCAGCCCGCGCAAAAGGCGTAGCTTGGCCGGTAGTCGCGCGAAATTGCGTTGTCGTCGTCGCGTTCTCTTGTGCGCGCAAGCCGCACCGTTCAAAAAGGGAAGTTGGTTAGAGATCTACGGCGGTGATGTATTCATCGCAAGACATCAAAGGTGTGTTGCGAGGTCAATGCCACGCAAGCAACTGCGAGTGCGATGGCTACAGCAGGGCACTCGACAACTGCAGCCAACCTGCGGCTCCTCACCAAGCGACGTGGTGCGTTTACTGCGGCCACAGACCTGTACAGCACGCACGGATTAGTAAGTGCCGCTTTTATTTCATGTTTTTCTGCGTGTGTGTGTGTGTGTCTGTGTGTGTCAGTCGAGGGGCACGCGTGTTCGGAACACCGTTGAGTACCCGACCGCTTCGGTATGCACTTCCGTTGCGTTGTTCCGTGTGACGCTACCGGGACGTATGCCGTTATTGCACTTTAGTTTTAGTTTCACGTAGGGGGAGGCACTCACTTGATCGAATGACGTTTTAGCGAACGCCCACGTTTCACCGAATGACACTTTAGCGAACAGTCGAACGCCACGAAGCGGCGTTTTCGGGTGGGCCAAATGGGTTCACATTTTTGTAATAAGCCGCCGCAGACTCGCCGGCGAAGCGGCGTAAAGCGCAGCACGGCGGATGGGTTAACGCGCGCCGCCGTTATTCGCTAAAACGTCGATTCGCTCAAATGTCGCTGTTCGCTAAAATGTCACTGGCTCATGTGATATGGACCCCGATGTGCGTGTCATCTTAGTATGAACAGTCGATTGCCGCTTGCTGCCGCGGGCGTGGATATTTTTGTGGGCTCCCCGCGCCGGGTGCCTGGTAGAGCAGCAGGGGGGGGGGGGGGGGGAGGAGGAGGAGGAGGGGGGAGATGGGGATGGGGATGGTGATGGTGGCGGCGGCGGCCCAAAGGATTGCTACCCGTTTTTTACGCGTAATTTTATGTTTGACTGTCTTGTTCACCCACCATTTCCTGTTATTGTCTTTTTTTTTCTTCTTTATTTCCCCCATTTGGCGGCGGGCTAACAGGCGCATCTGCGTACGAGTCTCAACCTTTCTGTCTAGCCTTGCACGCTGCCGAGTGAGTAACCCAACTGTGGAAAGAAAAATTATTATTAATATTATATCCTCTGTGATTTCGTGCTGTCGGCATCGAGTACTGCATAAAATGACATTACAAAAAAAAAAAAAAACATAGGCACCCAGCACATACAGATACTATGTGCTTGTTGCACCCCCCCCCCCCCAAAAAAAAAAGAAAAAGAAAAAAAAGTTAAGTTATTTAGGAGTCCTCACGTCTTGTTTTTTTCCTTCTGGGTTGCATAATTTTTTTTTTTTTTCTGAAGGGGCGGTATTGTGATGATTTTACACTCGGCCGTCAATGTCAAGCTTGTTGCACAGCTTTTTAAACTAACAGTGGAGAAAACATTCCACAAGTGACTTTGTATAACCCCAGACAATTTACAGCCATGTTTATTTCTACAGCTCTTTCTGCCCAAGGGAAACAAAGATGGTGCTAGAGCACCCATTCATTCGTGCCTTTTAGATAATACTGTGGGCTTGGAAATTTAAACAAATGTTTAATGCCAGCTGCTGACCAGGAAGCTGATACTGCCAGTAAAAACATTTGATGTTCTCGTGTGATGCCAGATTCATACCAGTTCCATAAATTGAAGTTATGAGAGTGTAATTTTTGCTGCCATATACATAAAAAGACCACGTGAGGCCAGCATAATTGTAGACATTGACAGTATTTATGACTATACGACATCAACAATGACATTTCTGACTTCATGCAGCTTGATTATTTGCTCTGTTTGCAGGTATATTTGAAGGCGAGTCATGCGATCTGTCTGACAACATGCAAGGGTCTACTTCGCAAGGTGCCATCATCAGTACCTCTGAGGTCATGAACAACAGCACCTGCACTGCTGCTGAAATTCTGCTTGGTGAGTACCAACATGCATATGTCATTAAGGCAACAACTGTCGCCTTGATGACACGGGCAGGATTCCCTTGATTGTACTGTTAACTTCAGCTGTTGAACAACGAAATCATGTATGTACATAAATTCATAAACAGCATTGGCACAGTGCACACATTAGTTAAGCATAAAAAAGATGAACACTCCTAGGGATAGCAATTGGAACCTCTCTTAACAGGCTTTCAGGACAGTCAGTAAAGGGCCTTCATCTTGCAATTATAGTTGTAAATATAAAGGGGGACTAAAATGTTAAGATGAGCTAGTTAATAAGTTTATATGTTCCTGCACAAAGAAGTCATGAACCGAGAAGGCTCGAAACATTTGTGTATTATTATCCAGCTTGCCTGCACCCCTGTATTAATTGCATCAACATCATAACCTTAATGTAGGCCTCACACTTGCCGGTCGTAATGCTGGTGGGAGTTGTTGAAACCCGTTTGCTCTACTGACGTCTTAGGGCTCCACTGGAAATGGAGAGGTCCCTGGTTTGAAACCAGGACCAGGCGGATTTCTTCAGCTGCACACCAGTCACCTAGCTGCTGTTGGAGATTTTGCATTTGTCCTTTGTCCCCTCGTTCCCCTTCTCCGGAGATAATTTATCGTTTATTCTTATCCAGCTTGCCTGTACCCCTGCATTAATTGCACTGGCATGGAACATTCAACACTGCATGAGTTACGTCTGA